CTCAACTATCGACTCTCCTAAACGTTTTCTTCCTTTTCACTTCGCTAACATACCACATCACAAGCTTACATTACAAATCATTTATTTAAATCGTCTGTCTGTGTATTCCTTGCAATGTGCATAATTAATACAATCAAATCATGTTGTTGCATTTTTTCTATATGGAAGGCTCCAAACAAAAGTGATAAAGTTAAAAATTTTTTAATCTAGTTAAAAATGGAAAAATACAGCACAAATTCTATATTTTTCATTGAAAGGGGAACCACATCAAATAGCTTCAGAATAAGCCATTACATAACAGATTACAAAAATGATTTTGTTGTTATGTACTGGGCAAAGTAGATCAAGTGCAAGAGGCTTCTCTCATCTGAGTGCTGCTATTTGTTAAAGGAATTTTAGTCTTGCTTTTAGATTGTATTTTATTCTAATTAATTACTTAGTTTGTGGAATTTCAATGCAAATATAAAATGCTCTCCAGTGAAGAATGACCACCAAATTGTTGTTGAAGAGAGTGTACGGAGTTTGATGCTACTTTAGCTAATTTAGATTGTTAAGATTAAAAAATGTTTAATTTGACATTCCTTTAATAGATTACTTCTCAAAATTTACAAATTATAAACTACTAACTTTAGATTGTTCTAACCTACAAAATTACATACACACGTTACAAAACTTGTTGCAAAAATAAATAAATTTAGGTCATTAATTTTATGGTAACAGACAACTACTTGGCTTATAGAACTGAATTATGATTTAAGATACCCTAACCACATTTTACATTTCTGTTAGTTTAAGAGTTAAAAAAATGAAGGTCTGTGTAAATTAAGCCTAATTGCTTACAAAAAATGTAAATCTGTACGTCATTTTCTGTTACCAATGCAGTTTTAATTTTATGAGATTTTGAAATTTCGCTAATAAGCTTTCCTTTCTCACTTGTTTTAATAGGTCTCGTCAGAGTGTTAATCACTTGTAACTCTGCATTTCTCACAGTTTTAAACATGCTAATAAAAACATCACACAGAAATTAAACTAAAATGTTTTGTCTTTTAAAAAATTTCCAGTTGGTAAATAACCAGAAATTAAATTTAAAGAAAATAATAGATTCACTTCTGGATAACGTAACAACTTCTGTAATTATTTTCTGTACTTAATGAAAAAACACATAAATTGACTTGCACATGTATGTGTGTAACAACTTCTTGTATTCTACGAAGACAGTCTAAGTTACACATTCTTTTATTTTCCTCAATTTAAACACTTATGTCATAATTCTTCTTATCAAAAACTTAATAAGAATTATGAAATATGGTAAACAAAAAATACAAAAAAGAATTTTATATCAATAAGCAAACATTTTTCGAGTTACATTCTAGGATTTTAAGGGGAATATAGATCGCTGTGGACATCATATAATAACTTCTTTAGTTATTTTTTGTGATATAAGCGATTATATAAATGATATATATATAAATGATTTTGTTATAATACAACAAAATCATTTTTGTAATCTGTTATGTAATGGCTTATTCTGAAGCTATTTGATGTGGTTCCCCTTTCAATGAAAATTATAGAATTTGTGCTGTATTTTTCCATTTTTAACTAGATTAAAAAATTTTTAACTTTATCACTTTTGTTTGGAGCCTTCCATATAGAAAAAATGCAACAACATGATATAATATAGATATGCATTGTATTTTCACTTCCTCAGAGAAACAATATCTTTTACACACAATTTAGAAGCTTTCTTAGAGAGTGAAATGCAAAAATAAAATTTTTAAAAATGCTAATATATAATCTTGATAATTATTTAAATAACTTATTAAAACATAAAAATTTCAAAATTCATTCTAGCTTGAGAAATCAAACACAAGAAACTAAAAGGGACTTAATTTTCAAGCCCCAAAACACATTCCATAAATATCTATCTTGATCATCAACTAGTGGGTTAAAATAAAACAAAAACATTATTTGATTTTACTTATCTACAGGAATATTAATCTCAATTAATCTTACATAAAAATTAAGTAATTTAAAATTATCCAATGCTCCAGAAACAACACAAGAATGAAAAAGGACTTAATTATAAGCCTCAAAACATATTCTATGAATATTTAACATGATCATGAACTAGTGGTTAAAATGCAACAAACATTATCTGATTTACCTGTCTTGATTTACTCACAAAATTAATCTCAATCTTACATAAAATTAAGTAATTTAAATTGTATAAAAATTTGCTCAAATTTTGATTTTCTAAAAACCTTTCAAATAATCATAATTAATTTCAACATGCTATAAGATACTTTATGTAGAGTATCCATTAATTAAAAAGTCAAGAGAAAACATTTAAATAAATTCACATTCATCACATTCAACATTATCTTTTTTCCAATGTGAGCTGTTAATAGCATTTTTTATTCAAAAACAATCACACATACAAATTCTAACCCTCCCTCCATACACACACACATACACACAAAAGAAGCAATGTGAATGGAAGTGAAAATATGGGCTACTTCATATAAAAGAATTATCTACCTTAAGGCCTTAATCTTCCTTACCTTGACCTACCTACCTAATGATCTACCTTAGGAAGCTTAAGCCCTTATGTTTTTATCATTTATGAAGTTCATTCTGAACATCAAACAACAAACAATTCTAAAATTTAAAAAAATGTGGAAAATATTGTTGAGAGTATCATCGACACACATAGCATCTCATTGTAATGAAAGGAGTGGCATGGGCCAATATGTCGGATAAGAGCTGACTCATACTTCTGCCTAAATATGTAATGTATGTATGGATAATATATTGAGGAAAATATTACTCATTATAAAAAAAAGGCTTCAGAAGACTCGTGGCAAAAATTGACTATGCTATTTACTTTCAAAATTTGGCATATTTGATATCAACTTGCCTTGAGGGCTCAGTTAATAAATAAGAATAAGTTGAGATTTATTTCTCCCTTCACTGTTATTTAGTTTAGTCATATTTTTCTTATAACTGACGTGCCAAAAGAATTTTCATACAAGTTCTAGAAGTTTTCAAATACTAAAATTACGTTGTTGATGTTCTCAAGAAGCATCACTTCAGAATTATAATCGTACAAAAATTCATTAACAATCCTGAAGCTTGCAAGAATTTTCTAGAACCTAAGTCCAAGATTCTATGAATAAGATGTCCTTTTTTAAATAATTTATATCAATGAATCCTTTTCCCGACAAGTTGCACAGAAGCACTTCTCACTTAATCTATTATCATTAGAAACCTCTTCTAAACTGTTATTTTTAGTACAAATGCAAACATTGTCACACTTCAATTTATATATGGCCCCTGAATAGGATCAACTTCAAAATAAAATATCTTGGTTAGTTTTTGCCATATGAGTCACACTTTTAACATTTTAGTTTTTATTGAATACAGAGTTTCACTAAATACAAGGACTAGAAGAATGTACAAAAAATTTGATTTTGTAATTTTTACATTTTTTTAAAATTTAAAAATGCTAGACTATTAATATGTGTCATTTAAGACATTTTTATAGCTGGAAGAATGTTTCTATGACATACATTGTAAAAATAAAGGTCAGGTAAGAACTGCAGTCACAAAGTACATAAGATACAACCGTAATTGTTCCCATATACAAAGTGGCCCAAGACAAACCGTACTGGACACAGGAGAGAGAAGAAACTGAAAAGCATTTGTGTATTCAACATAGTAACACACAATAACATTTCAAATGCTATGCAGCAAGCTGTGATGCACATTCACCATTTATTTTATCTATTTATATAATATTGCATATAGTTCCTTTAATATTTTTATAGTTTATGCATTCTTCGCTTGCTTTTTTTTTAATCTAGGGCTACCCTGTATATGCGTACAGACATGGACACATACGTGCTTTACACGATTATTGCATTTAACATGAAGTCATATCCGACACATCAGGAGTTTCAGTTATTCGTGGTTCACAATGGAAAGTCCTCTAAAGTTTGAAACTGTACAAAATGAGATGAACAGTCTATGGTCAAACATGAAACACAGCCACAAAAAACGTTACACACATTCCACAATATTTAACAGATGCATGTGCAGATACTTTCCTAACATATGTAACTAAATGAGAGAGGGATAAAAAGTGATCTCTGGAACTGCATTATGTTCTCAGGTTACAGGTTACTTAGGTCCACCAGTGATCGAGCGGTAAAACCACTGAACACTGGTAGTTAACAACCTGGATTCGAATTCAGGTAAAAAGGGTGGCTAAATTGGTGGTTTTGTAGTTTTTCCCGATGTGTAAAGTGTATACAAGCCAGTTTCCCTTAGAAAGTTCTCTCCATTCTCATTAAAGATATTCTATCACACTCATCATACTCATATATTTTTTATTTACATAACAATAGCTTTCAAGCATGACAGCAGTAGTGCTACCTGTGTTTCTCAATTTAAGAGAAGCTACAGTATCTTATCCTCTAGAAAGAAAGAAAACATTTTGAAAAGTAAATTTTGCATTATTGTATTAACAATGCAGTTTATGAAATGATAGTGTGCAGTATATTTTATTGTTACTTAGTAATAACGGTCTTACTATGCCAACTTTATAAATTAAAGTTCACCAAATTTAAATATGTCACATGGATATCTTGTTCCACATAGCATTTGCAGTTATCTAATTTTCACGTGTCCATCATATAAACTCAAATGAATTACTTGCAGAAATTAAGGTACTATAATAGTGTTCATTTTATCTAGAACTAAGACTTGAAGTTTATTAACCCTAACAGAGGTATTACTGTTATACCAGTCTTTACTGCATCATACATGTCCACAATAGCAGAAAGCTCACAGCATCATCAGGTCATTTCAAACCTTCACTTCACAAAAGATTTATTTCAAACTGAGAAATAGTAATTGTTTATTCTGTTACTACTGATGATTTTTAGTTCTCTTATAGTATTAAACATGCCTCCTTTTTAAGAGTAATAAAAAGCACTATGTTAGGTTGCTGTATAGTTTTATTAAATAATACTTTTTTGTATGTAATTTTAATGTACATGTAAAAAATTCTGCAGAGTTATAAAAACATAGCTTCTTCGAGATCCTGTACATACTTTGAATTTAACAAACTTCACACATTTTTCCCTCTGGTCCTAGGGAAAAAAAATCTTATGTAAAGTCATACAACAACTCATCATTATTTTTTAATCTTTAAAGATATTTTTTATACTAACCTGCATTATACTCATGTAATATTATGTTTAACTAAGTACTTCAATCTAACTGCTTTTATCAAATTCTGTTTCCTTTCTTGATAAGAAAGCATGCGCTCTTTAGGAGTTTTGCCAAATGTTTTTGCAGCAGTGTTTAAGCTGAGCTGAAAATGTAAAAATTATGTGCAAATTTAAAATAAACATACCATTAGAACTTTCTAGTAAATAATTTAAATACTAGAAACAACCTATTACTATACTCTCAATACCTGTGCTATCGAGCTAGCAGAAACTGCATTTTCGGTCTGGAATGATACAGATGAATGCTGAGTAAGTTCTGGAGTACTTGACCCACCAGAGTAATTACTAGGTGATGCTAAAATCAAACACATTTTTCGCTTATGATCAAAAAATAAAGTCTATGGAAACAACTAAAAACAATATGAAAGAAAAATATACCAGTTATAGAGGTGGTCATTTGGAGGCGTTTTACAAGTTCTACTTTATCTGAAGAAGTATAATTTGTTGCAGCTGCACCCAAACCATCAGCCATGGATTGTTGCACTCTTTTGCTGAAGTCTTCAAGAGATTCATTGGGTAATTTTGCAATGCTTGGTAACATCCTAATAAATCAAGCATTAAAATGTTAAAAAATACCAAAACAAAAAGTGGTTAACACAGCATTAAAACACAGCAAGAACAAAAAAATTTTGACATTATTATACTCTATTATTACACAGCATAAAACAGCTAATTACTAATGACACAGCTGATTAAAATAATTCTGAAAAGTATTTCTGGTCTAAAATACTCACTAATTTCAACAAAGAAAAATATTTTAGAATATGAATCCAAGAAAATCATAATTCATTAAAATAACATCATAATTCAGTATGATTACCACACTCAAAATACTGTAAATGCTTACATACATGATGACTATATCACTTACTTTAGACTGTAAATTGTATAAGGCAGGAAGAAAAGCCATAATATGTCCAACCAAACATTACTTCCTAGGACTGACTATAAAACAAGAGAGATACATATTAAAAAAAAGACTGCAAATAAACAGTACGAGCATTAAAAAGTAAAATTAATTACTATCACTATGCTATTCTTTGCTTATTTATTTAATGTCTGATGCAATGATTTTTAGGTAGCATGTCACACATCTGCATTCATATTTTTTTAATTATTTCAGTTCGATGTTTATTCAAGGTAGTTAGCTTTTTTATTACAGTATTTCTTTCTATCCCTTTCTTCCTTACTCTTTTCCCTCTGCCACATTTATTAATCCCTTGAAATAAAATGCCGTCTGGGAGACATCCTTCATTTCATGTGTCATTGTAGTGCTTGACGTCTCTGAGATGTCAAGAACTGTCTTCGGTCAACGCCACGCAATATATTATTATTTTTATATGGCAATGTAAATTTGAAAATAAAACATTCTGTTTTAAAGTTTGCACATGAGTGTCCACAGTTCAGCCAAATTAAATGGTATTTTTTGGATTCGTCGATGGGTATTTTATTTGTGTGCCAAGGGGTCAATAAATTAAACTTAATCCAAAAATCCTGAAAATGATTTGTTGAAATTTCATGTCAGGTAGAGCTCTTACTTCACACCTTTTGTAAATTACAATTAGAAGTTTCCAAATTCTGCCTTCCTTATTTCTGCATACGATCTAGCATTACATTTACCTTATTACAATTTTCAAAAATATAATTCTTACTCTTCGGAAACTAAAACTATCACAATTTCGTAAAATTTTACTTCAGAGTGTATTTTGCGAGAGAAAAAAAATCAACAGGACCAATATTTTTAACACTTTACAAATTTTAAATGTCTATCATTAAATGTTAATAACATTGTAAACATTACATAAATAATAAAAGAAACTAAAATATTCAAATGCCTATGTTTTTTTGAAAATATAAAAAAGGTATATGATGCAATCCCAACTATTAAATAAAGACAGATCCTTAACTTTGTAAGTTTCACAAAATATCAAAAGAAAAATTATATACACTGTTACCACAAGTATACCTTTATTAAATCAATTAAGAAATCCAACATGCAAATTGACACAAATAAGCAAAAAATTATTAACTGCATTTTTAGTCCAACCCAATCCAAATTATCACAGCATTATTCTTATCACAAATATTTGCAGCAAAAGTTATAGTGTTACATGCAGAATTTGGAACCCTCAGCTGAACATAGATTAATGGGGATTGGAAGAAGTTTTCCCATACTTCCAATAGGAACACAATAGAAACATTATTCACAATGTTGCAGAGTAAAATTTCATGAGCTTTTATAATATTCAAATTGAGGGGTAAATTAGAGTAAATCTGGCTTGCAAAATCTGAAAGCTATGATTTTCCATAACCAAAATGCTTTGATGAAATAACAGTCGTATGGGATTATTTCTACTTATCAACTACTTTAACTATCACCTCTTAACACTCTGGTCTGGTAGCTTCAAAATTAAAAATTACACAAAAGTACACTCCAGTTAAATCTTAGTAACAAGTAAAGTGAACTAAAATACTGAAATAAGCCTTATTTTGAACCTTGCTTACACAACAGCTCATATTTATAATTCTTACGAGGATTTATAAAGACTAGTTTTGTAGTTACCAAAAGAAAAAAAACAAATAATTCATAAGCTTAATAATTATTATGTAAAATGCTTTATGTTTGTGTGTGTGTCTGCCTGATAGCAAAACCTATAACTATACAAGAACTCATGACATGTAAGCCTTAATCTTATGCTACATTTATGATGACACCAGTATTTACTATTTAAGTCTTGTACGAATAAAACAGTAAGACACTAAAATAATGTATGAAATTTAATTAAAATATCATCACAAGCATGTAAAAGACTGAGTAGGAAAAGATGACTTCTGAACACGTATTGCTTCTGCACTGTAATATAGAAGATGATAAAATATCACAAAAGACAATATTAATTCACTTCAAAATGGCTCATAAATGCAAGATGAATTAAAAAGAATATAATCTTTTTGATATTCTGGATACTTTTGTTGATAAGACAAGCATTAAACATAAAAGAAGACCATGGTAATTTTACAGTGGATTAAAGCAAAATCATTATAGTATAGTGTCAGGTTAGTAATAACACACTAACAAAATTAGAAATATTAAAATTTTAAATTTAAACAAGTAATGCCAACTTAAATGCACTGACAGTTTTATAAAGATTTATATGGGTACAGAGTGATATAAGGAGGGTAGATCAACAATGTAACTGAGAACAGAAAATACAGCTCTTAAATGCAATTAAGTCCATTACAGCAAATCACTCTAAATCACTCTAAATTACTCTAAATCAGATTAGAAACAACAATCTAGTAATGAAATTTAAAATATATATGCAAATGGGTATGGGAATTCTCATTATCATAGTTATTGTTATTTTAAATTAGCCATTGTGAATTCTCAGTGAAAGAAATTGGATTTTTTAAATCTAATCTAACCAACGAGGAAGCATGCAAATAATCAACAAACTAGACTTTTTAACAACTCTGATACACTGAACGTTTAAAATTCCAATCAGTAATATAAATGACACTATAAATTGAACAAAACTTACATCCCTATTGTTGTTCCAAATAATATTAACACATTTCAAAACCATAACTAAAAAAAAGTTAATTTATCTTCTAGTTGTGAGTAATAGAAACAAACATATGAAAAAGGGACAGAAGTAACCATATTAGAAATAAACTGTCAGTATTAAATAAAACAAAGATTAATAGTTGGAATTATATTGATGAAAACAAACTCTAAATATAGTTTATACATACATATGCCTTATATATAATGTATGCAGTTTCAATCAGAAAATACATACACACACAAATTCACAAATAGACAGAGAGATATCAATTCAATTCTAAGTGAAAACATTAAAAATATTACTTGAATGAACTAAAAATAGCATAAACAAACACTTACTGGTGAAATGGTGATGAAGGATGATTCAACATGAATAAATACCTAAATAAGAATAAAAATTAACTTAATACTGAAATTTATGCAACAAGTGCCTGGGAAAAATATACACCAAAAGCATCACAGCATTTAAAAGCATTCTTTAGAAATAATGATACATTGAATACAATATTTAAAAACAACTACATTTACATAATTTTCTAAAAATATCAAATAACTAATACTATATCTAATCGATGCAAAAGTAGATAATGGTAGTTTTCTGTTAATATGGCACCCTTTAGCAACAAACATAAATGTTGGAACAAATTTAATTAGATGATGGCAATCATAATTTTACATAAAGCTACATGGGAAAAAATAAATATTTAATCAACAGAATTAATTAAAGATAAAGACAAATACAAAAATAGAAAATTTATTGGATGTGCGCAATGCCGAAGTAGTGCATGCTACCGAACTGGCACAATTCTGCTTAAAAAAATGTCATGCTACTTCTGTGTCCAGTGTTTTTTTTTTTTTTTTTTTTTGGTAGCATCTACATAGGTAAACCTGTCTCTGCTGCACTGTCATGTGGAAGCTGCTATGATGGTTACTGTGCTGACAATCAATCTATGATGCTATGAATGCTGTTGCACTACCCATGGAGACACTTGTTCTACACACAAGCCAAGTTCCTGACTCAGGAACATGATGTGGCTGTACAATCCTGCAGGGTTGAGAGAACAACATATCTACTCTCTCTGGTCTTAGTGCTCTGGGGTTGCTTAAATCCTGCATGGCATTCAGTACGACCCTCCTGGACCTATCCTTTCTGTATTCACTTCACAGCCATAGGATCCCAATCAACATGAGCAGCAATGTGGGATGATAAACCAGAGAACTTGATAGAGCAAGATCCTGCAGCAATCAAGTTTTGACACATGGTGGTATGATTTTATCTTTCTTACAGAAGGCAAAACATGATCCTCACAAATGACCAATGTTCAGATGTGATTTCCAAATGCAAAATCAAATCCACTTTGCAATCTTCCCATTTATACACATGATAGATGCCATTGCTTATACCTGCTTTGTGTGCATGCAATGGAATGCTAATTATTTCAGTATTCCAGCATGTAATATCTTTCATGAAAATTTGACATTTCTTGCATGTTGCCTTCATGGTGTAGCAATTTTAATGGCAAGCAGTGTAATTTGTTAGCTTTGAAGTGTTGGATTCTCCATCATCCTCCTAGTTTGGTTACTCATGTTAACATTTGCATGGTTTTATTAGTATTAACTTGCTAGAAATTATTGTATAATTTTGGAGAATATCTCTGTCCTTGCATAGGAATTAGCATACTTAAAATTCTTTGACAACATACCCTAATTGTGAAAAGAGCTGACTATGCTTGTTTCGATGACTCAACAAATATCAAAAACCCACAATTATGACAACAACAACAACAAAACCAAAAAAAAAAAAAAAAAAAAAAAAAAAAAAAAACCAGAACTTGGAAAAGCATGCAGAGGAAAATTAAGTTTGTCATTAAAAAGTTACAAATGTTTGCAAAAGGTAGCCATGTATTTTAAGAAAAATACCTGCTATGAAAAATACAAGAACGAAACAGTACTGCAAGTCCCAACGCTTATAAAAATCAAAGGTATCAACGACATATGAGAAACTGCATAAAGAAAAAAAGCAAATGAAATATACATTTGCACATGAAAAATTTAACAATTATTAATAACTGTTTTAATTACAAGATTTTAAATAAATATAACATTTGATGTCCAAATATATTTATTTATTGCATATCTTATAAACAGATGTTACAAGACATATTCTAAGGAAAAATTATATATATATAAACATATACATTGTTAATACTTCATACTGTATTCTAACAAAAACAGAGAAGATGTGATTACTTGTTTTGTATGATCACTGAAAATATTTCTGCATAGTGCAGGTATGAAGAAGCTTTTCATGTGATATACATGCCTCAAAATCTTTAATTAGGGTTGGAGGGAAAGTTCTGTCGTATTTTAAAGAAAATATTTTAATTCATTTATAAAAATATGTGTTTAATATTAATCAATTATATATGCTCCGTTATTTGTTACAACCCGTTGCCATCTTCCAGGTAACCTGTAAATTCCTGTTTTATAGAAGTTCTCATCCATGGAGTTAAAATAGTCAGCAACTGCCTTAGAATCACTTTCAAAAGACTGAATTTTTTTCCCGTTAGATAATTTGCAGAGATCTGAACAGGTAATAATCAAAGGGTGCAATGTCAGGTGAATACGGGGGGTGACTAAGATTTCCCATCCTAACGCATTCAGTTTTTGTAGTGTCACCACTGCAGTATGCGGGGCGAGCTTATTGTGATGGAACACTATTCCTTTTCTGGACGCTAATGCTGGTTTTTTCTTTGATAGCTGCCATTCAATTTATCCAGCTGATTGCAGTACAGATCCGCGTTGATGTTTTTTCCCTGTTTCAGCAACTCGTAATACACTGGACCTTTCCTGTCCCACCACAAACAAGCAGTATTTTCGTTGATGGATACTTGGTTTTGGAACTGTTGCTGATGATGTTCCTGGTTTGGCAGTAAGATTTTTTTCTTTTAATATTCTCGTAAAGAATCCACTTTTCATCTCCAGTAACCAGCCTGTCCAAAAATGGCTCCACATTGTGTCTAATCAGATGTGATGAACTATTCTTAAACGATCAGACAAATTCTTTTCGTTAATTCACGTGGAACCCAAACAACTTTGCTTTAACACAAACCCAAGAGAATTTAATGTGATCTCCAACAGTTGTATGATGAATGCCAAACTCTTCTGCAATTTCTCGACTTGTTAAATGTGGATTATTTTCCAAACATGGATTGCAAAAAACATCATTATCGATCTTGGATGGTTGTCCAGATCGAACACTTTCTTTTGAGGCTCAGGTCCCCGGAACGAAATTTGCTAAACCATCTTTGACAAGTACGAACATTTACAATATCTTTTCCAAATACCGCACATAAATTTTTACATACAACAGATGCGTTGCTTCCTTTTTGGAATTCATATAAAATGCAGTGTCGTAAATGCACTTTATCTACCGACATGTTTTTCCCTTTAAATATTACAAGTAAATGATGAACACAGTAAAAAAGGGCACCTTTTATATTATACAGCAGCTAAAAAAACAAAAAACAAAAAATCCGATTGACTCACTAGCCAGATGTTTTTTTTATTTACAAGAAAAATCACCTGCCTATTTAAAATACGACAGAACTTTCCCTCCAACCCGATACTTATCCCCAGGCTATAAAATATAAATAAATTCATTCAATGTCTGAGTTTTGTACACTGAATCAATCTACACAAGTAATCACAACAGGCATAGGTTGGGACAAAGTATAGAACTTACCATCAAAATTGATCAAAGAAAATTCATAATTGACACCTGCAATGTATAAAAAATCATTTAGAAAACTTAACCCCTTCGTGCCGACTGTCACGTATACGTGCCAGCAACGAACGCACTTATCTACCGGCCGACACGCAGGCGTGCCAGAGCATTTATGCGTTTTCTACCGAATGTCACGTATTTGTGCCAGTAGCTTGGAACGTTTTTCAAACTATAATTTCTGCCACAAGATGGCACTGTATGCCCATATGGTTTCAGATACATGTACATTAGACTTTCTACTCGAAAGGAGAGAAGCATGACTCAACATACACGTGTTTTGATTATATAAACAAACGGGGAACCAAATGTTTCCGAATGGCGTGATTTATGACGTCTCTTTAAATCGCACTTTATTCGCACGTGGTAGTTGTTATTGTAAGTAGAAAGTTTATATGCGCTAAAGCATTGAGTATTTCGGTTTACAGTTCAGTTTTTAGAAAATAATTAGATCTTGTTAGACGTGAATTCTTTCTTGTTTTTACCCGTTTCAATGTCGAAGCGTCGAAAATGTTTAACGGAGCATGAAATAGCAGAAATGATGCAAAATATTTCAGATATTGATTCTGAAGATTAACTGAAAGACATTTTCCAAAACTTTGTTCAGAAAGAGACTGATAAAAAATGAGACGACGATGCTTCGTTTGTTCACATTCCCGGAAAAAAATCCTCCAAAACGGCAAATGAGTTATTACGAGTTCAAGGAATGTAACGTAGGACTGTGTGTAGATCCCTGTTTTCAAATTTTCATACGAAAAGAGAATTTTAAGTAATATATTAGTTTTCAGATGTATAATGTAAAAAGTATAAAATGGTGAGTAATTAATTAAAATAAAATGTGTAAAATATGCATTTAGACAAGAAATAAGGTAATTAAAGTATATATATATAAATATCTATAAAGCATAAGCCGTTTAAATACTGTATAGAGCATTATCAAACAATGCGTTGATACTTCGGAAATTTCATGGATTTAGGCTTAGTAGCAAAAAAGGCCCCGGCCCTGGAGAGACGCTCGCGGAAGACGCCGGCCTCCGCGATAAGCGCGCATTTTCACTACCCAGCTCGAAGGGGTTAAGACACACACACACAAAACAAAACAAAACAAAACAAAACAAAACAAAAAAAAAAAACTTACTGGTTGAACAGTGAAATTCAAAGAGAAAATTCCAGGATGGAATCTGAGAAGGCCAACTTTGCCGTTTGTAATGGCATCCTCAGGGAAATTCAAAATGGGCATAGCAGAACCTCAAAAAGTATTAGATATCTAATTATTTCACAATCAGATAAATATTCCAACTGAAGATCAGATAAAAGTTATATATTTCTACCATAATTACTATAAAAATCATAAAGTCATAAAAGAAATGTACCTTCAGTACATGTAAGTAATGTTATAATATCATCTTCAGTTATTTCTCTTGAATACCCAACATCTGCATCCTTCCAGCAAGATACTTCATTCATATCCTTTATTTGAAACCCTTTTCTTATCTAACAATTAATATTTATTACAAATAAAGATAATCTACTAAAAATCACACAAATTTCCATTATATTTAATGCTTTAAGTATATACAAAACAATATCCTTTCAAATTTCATAATTTTGTTACTACTAAGACAGCAATGTATATTATAAGTTACAGATAAGAGGGATTTCACAAAATACTTTTTAAACAACTAAAACATAGTAAGTAAAACAATAGATATGTCCAAAGTTCCTTTGCAGTGGTGCTCAGTTAAGACATACACATTTCTTAAACATAAACAAGAATGAAGGAATAACATTCAGTGCATAAAATGAAAATAATTTAGAATGTGTAAGTGAAAGCTAGAATATCACTACGAAATACCCACAAACAATTAAAAAACAACTATCAATGTTAAAAAAAAATAATAATTTTAAAAAACTGAACAAAGATTACAATATAAAGTAGTGAACATTCATTATTAGCCTTATAAGTGGGATAACAAAAAGAAAAACATATATACGGTCAGGTCCTGGAGTGCTTACCATGCTACTACTATTAACTGTTGTAAATGACTGGCACCAGGTCGAATTAAACAGGTTAGCAACAGGTCAAAACTAAAAATTTACTTTTTATTTGGCTTAATTAAAAGCTTTTCCTAGTTTGTTTTTCAGTGCTTTATATAATTAAAAAAAATGAGAGATGCACATAAAGCCATTACTGAGACTGTCAATTTCTTTTCTCTAAAATATCAAAAACATTTACAAGTATTTTTCTCTGTGTATTAATTTTGGAAGTTCATTGATTTGGTACAGTGCTAATGATATGCATCATACAGGCTATAGGAACTGATCATAAAACAAGATAAAAAGATATTAGAAGGACAAAAAAAATATCAGGTACATCAATTATCAAAACTGTATCACATTTACTAGCATAGTTTCCTGCTCACATACTTTCCACTCAGGAGTTTTCAGAAGACTAACAAATAAGTTTCTAGAAACTTGATTTACTTCCTCCCCTGACAAAAATGACAAGTTTCTACAACTTTTCTGATTAACATTCTTTGCACATGCACTTCAGTCCATGTATGAAAAGGTCTAGACAAGGTTGTAGACATTTTTCTATTTCATGGGGGAAAATCTTCAGGAGATAATATATCATGACTTGGATACTTGGTTGAAAATTAGTCCAGCCCATATCTAATGGATAAAAAGGTTGTTGTGACTAATCTCAGTTGTCTGACCTCATCAGAATGAGGCTATGAATTTCATCATAGGAAGGAGTATAAGGTAATGCCTGTCATTGGCAACAGCATTGGGCATCATATAGCAATAGTACTATTTTTCTCAATTCCACCCCAATTTTGAGGGAGGGCACCTCGGAAGGTGGGTCCAAAGGTCTCTCACCCCTCTTCTACTACGACGAAACCATACGAGAGAACTTTCGACTTGCCACATATTTAGAATGCCTCCATGCCTCAAACACAAGATACATTTATAAATAGACATGCCTTCTCCAGGATTCAACCCCGGGTCCTTTGGTATAGTAGTCAGGGTCACTACTATCCTGTTTGGGTGGTGGATTAGAAGTTAAATGAACAATAATCAAATAGTATACTCAGTTCCCAGTGTAATTCAATTTTTAACTTCCCAGACTTTCAGTGACCAAATGGATAATCTCAAATATAATGGAATTATATTTGAAATATTGTCTACTAATCAAATATAATGGACATATTAAGTATAAGTAATTGAATATTACACATTTACTACAAAATACAGTGCAATAACTAAGAACATTATAAAAATTTATCTTACTTGTTACTGTGAAGCAAAGGAGAGAAATATAAATAGGAAATATGTATTATATAATAAATATGTATTCAAAACAGAACATGAGTGTTTTTAAAAAACCTCTTGAACAAACTGTTCATTCTGCAAAAGAAATTTAGAACAGTATATTATTCACAATGAATATTACTCTTTTGGTAATAAAAAATAAAATTGAAGATCTCAAAATTACAATGCACTGGAAAAAAAAACTGTTCATTTAATGAAGTTGTTGCTACTCACAGATATGCTGAAGAAGTCTTCAATTCACCCTTGCCTTGAGAAGACAAACCGGGGCCCTAGGAACAAGCAAATTACTATGCCCAGTCCACAAGAGGGCAACACACCCACTATCACAAAGAAACTTTGGGACAGTATGTGTGAAATCGATCAAGAACAAGTTCTAACCAGCCGTGGCAGCCATACCTCAACTAACAGCCTGGAACACCCCTGCCCACACGCATAGCATTGCATAGGAACGGCAGGCTGCATGCTCTTTGTAAAAGCCAGGACATGAGAGGAAATGAACACACTTCTTCACCAAAGAACTCAACAATATGCATGAAAGACTATGTTACCTCTGCTTTTGAGTTGAAGCTGTTGCCAAATCCTTGACTCCTCCACAGCCATGTTTGTCAATTTAATGCCCAGAAATTCTGCCAAACAGTAGTTAAGTAAATTTAACTCCCCATACAACTTTCCATGAAAAAAACCTTGAGTCAAAACGGTACTGTACATTTCCATACTAACCACAATCAACTACTGTACTTCTGTGTCTGAGCGAGATACAAAGCAATACATGTCTCATTCTTCTCATCAGCCACTATCCCATATATAAGGTGGCAGAGGTTATGTGCACAAACAAGTTCTTTTTCCAGGTATGATTTCTTTTTGTGTATTATAGGTTGTCTGTTCTTACACAAAAATAACACATTTTAAAGGATATTTATAAACATCTAAACATTAAATGAACCTTGCAAGAGAGAGGGAAGGGGAGAAAGAGCAGAGAAAATGTCAATAGCACGTAATGTTCCCAGATGGTCACCTTTCCAAGCACTGATCATGCTTAATGCTGCTTTAATTTAATGATTGGATGAAAAATGGTACTTTTAGCTCATTTAATATAATGTACAACTAGACAACGTAATAATTTCTCAAATCCACTACAGAACAGTTGATTAAAGCTCGGGAAAAAAAGCTTATGGGTGGATAAAATTATACAGTCAAAAGTCGTTAATTCAAACACCCATAATCCGGAATTATCTATAATCCAGACCTCAAAGCTACAAACTTTCTCCGCATGCATCGAGTTGATGTATTATCACATAATGTATTATCATATAATAAATGAAGCAACTTAAACAACTTACATTGAAAGAAATGTTTAATAAAGTAAACAAATAAATATTAATTTTTTTTTTTGTAAATTTTGATACCCTTTAGATCATAATTGTTCTTTATTTCATAAATTAAGGTTTCATATTTTTAATTTTATAATTTCTGCATGCCATCTTACCAAATTTAAACTGATGATCTATAATCCGGAAAAATTGATAATCCGGAATCGCTGAAGTCCCGACGAGTCCGGATTATCGACTTTTGACTGTATTAGATGTTTTGTGACTAAAATACTTTCTCTAAGTAAAATATTACACTAATTTTTCAATTGCTTTCCTTTAAAGAAATACAATTTTTATTTATTGTGCATCATTTAAAATATAAATTCTATTAGAAGAGAGATTTGATCAGTAATTTTTTTAACAATCTGGCATTTTTGGAAAAATTTTAATTTTTCCTGACATTTTTGACAAAAGTTTACATTTTCCCCAAACATTTTCTAAGGGGGCAGGGGGCTCAGCATATTACATATAATAACAGAAACAGTAAATAGTTTGGTAAAGATTAAAATGATGGAGGGTTCAACAAATGAAAACATCAAGCAGCTTCTAACTGTATTCATAAAAATGGAAAGTATAAGTGATCTTCATATTCTACAAAAGCGGGCATCTCTTTTTTTCTCACAGTGAAAAGTATTTGCAAGAAGTGAATGCTTATGTTTCTCCTTGATGCCCATCACTTTTCATGGGCACTTATTATACACGACTGTTACCTTGGCATCCCTCAATTTATAGTCTCATTTCAACAATCGCAAAATTCACAAAGTTTTGATGTGAGATGTTCAAATTATTAAGCATGCTTTTTATGAACACATCACTGTTCATTCAAGTAAGTTCCACATGTTTACAGTTTGATGGAACAATTTTATAGAAGGAAAAATTACACAAAATATTTAAACTGCTAAATACTGAAATATGTTAGAACAAAATCATGTTAAGCTTATTTTTCACAATGGCGGGCACTTGCCTATAACAGGACTAGCCACTACTAATGCCAGAAGTGGTGACCATGTTAAACTAACAACAAAGCAGTTTAAAATTTAAACAAAATCTCATAAACTATTACAGCAAACAAAAATAATTAACATCAACTTCAAGAAGAGCTTTTTTCAGACCTAAAAAAAGTATCCGGATACTGCTAGAGAAGCGTAAATTATATAACATTCTAAAGTACAGGCTATCAGTGCCAGAACTAATGTAATTGCTAATAAACAATAACAGAAATGTCAATACATGTGTTTATATACTCATTTTAAATGTTTAAATTCTTCCTTTCCTTCTCTTAAAAAAGGGTATACAATACACAATGTTCTCTTTCAATTTTTAGCCTACGAAAATAGTAAAAAATGGAGGGGGGAACATGTCACTACATACAGTATAAAAAATGCTATAATATGCAGGATGTTGCATGATTTTCTCAAATGTAGAGATACATGAACATTGCATTCTTAACAGAAATTTTTGTCACTCCAGGTAACTCAATTGAATCTGCTCAACTAATATGAATAAATTAGCAAATATACATGCTTATATATAGAAATTATATGGGAGGACTATTGATGGAATGCATAAAGGGCAAAAATTTTAATGCTGTTTGGACAGATAAAAGAAAAAGATGATCATTCACAGCCTTTTACATATCACAAAAGAACATGCAAAACACAAACAGCTAATTATATACTCAAATAAGAGTTATTTCTTATCTAACATAACTACATCACAGTAGACTAGGTGCTAAATATTAGTATCAAAATTTTTGCTTTAAAAAATTCTTAACAATTTAATTTGTACTTC